AAAAGACCCAACCGGCGCCATTTTCTGGCTCATAAGATGTGACATACCACATCAAGTGATTCTGTGGTGTGCGGTCGGTAATCATATGGTGGCAGTACGTTTGGGATTGGGATCAGGAAACATCACCGCATTTTGGATAGTTTTCAGGACACGATACGATCCTATCCGCCTACCCGAAATGCGACAAAAAGTTAACAGCAACTCACGAATGAGCCGCATAGGCGAAAACTTCACAACTCTCTAACATGAGGGGGTTAGTGATACACGGCGATACTGAGCGATAATGGTGCATAGAACTTAAAACACGACAGCTAGCGGCAGCGTGGTAGCTACAGGTGGGGGGGGGTATAAAGTGCGGCACTGAGTGAAAATACGTGACAGTTGTGTATAAACGCGACGCGAGAAGCGCGACGCGCCCAACGACCAACATGGACGCGAGAAGAGTCGTCCAATGTTGGTCGTTGGGCGGAGTCAGTCAGACCACTGTGTCCTCCTCATTGGTGTTCCTCTCCTCCCAAGATGTTAACAAGAAAAAGGCGCAGCGTTGATGGAAGCATAGTGGTTGGCTGTCACCGCCCATTTCATCAGTGTGGACTTTGCCTAACAATGCAACACATTTCGATGACATGGATCAGACACCTGTGGGCGATGTCGAGAAATGTTTCGGCAATAATCTCGCCACTGTTTAATCTTTTTGAGAAAATGTTGTAATGATGGTTAGCATGCGAAACATAGTCTATGGAAGTGATCCTCGTGGAGCCCCTTTTGGGAAGCCACGCCCACCCTATACGTTCGAAGCTCGCTTCTTCTTATTGATGAATTTCGGTGCCTTCTCATTATCTTTCTCTATTATATGAGATAATGATTGGATTTCTTCCCCTCTTTAAGGCGTTAACGAAGAGAAGCAAAAAACGTCGTAAAGTGAGTGCTGACAACGACCACGGTCTGTTTTTTTTTATTTTGGAGGTTTACGCAAAAGGTTAGCACACGGTTTGCGGCTTTTTTTCGAAATACATTCTGAAGTTTGTAGAATTTTTGGTGATTCTTCTCCAATGAGTTTTACCTTTGATCGATTCCAATTCAGCCGTTCATATCGAAAGAGCGAGTCGAGAAACGGAGAACACGAACACGAAGAAGATGAACGGCGATTCGGTGCCTGTCGAACCAGCGAAAACGGTGAATCCATCACCCGGAAAGCTTGAACCCGAGATTAAGATGAATGTGGAAGATATTTCGGTGAGCTTTTTTCCACACAATTTGTTAGTCAGTTAATGATGGCCTATACCTGGTAGAACCGTTTCCGCTACAGATACTAGGACATGTCAGGGGGCTAGGTTTGGCGCGGTGCAAGCACGTTCTCCACCAGTTGCTGAAGTGGGCAGGGCCAACAGTTTGTGGAAAACCGGTTGGCGCCACGCAAACGCAGTCCCCTGGACGCCCCACTGTCTTCGACGGGAACGGCTGTCAGTTCCCGTAGCCTTATTTCCACCTGTTCCACAGCCTTAGCTCTATCTACTCCGGTAGCTCTATCTATGACAGGTGGTGACGCATATTAAGTTGTTTGAAGAAAACTGCCTAGTAGATGGGACAAGCGCAGCTAAGTGCGAATAAATCTTGTCAGTTGGTTACGGTATATCATGGAAAATTCTTTCTCAGTAAGACCCTCCTATCCAGCAACTACAAATGACCATCTTCCCAATGTGGATTCCACAACTATTACATAGATATCTTCCATATCGGAGAGCAGCAAGAGGCTTACCTGCGTACCCCATGAACACTCTTCTCTTATACAGACGGCTGCATCTTTTTCGTATGACGCCCTCCCAGTCACACCCCTTGCTGTCGCGGATATGGACTATACCTTTTCCACTCGTCGTTGTAAACTTCATCATTTCATGCAGGATAGCCGACTGCCCAATCAAGCTCAATCCCAGTGAGAGTTTTATCGCTTTCATGCAAGTGCTCCACGACCTTCTCCACCCCCCCCCACCCCACCGACCCGCTCCTCACATGGCACTCAATCCCGCTGGCTCTCACATTGAGTGCTTATGTTAAAGGAACGGCCCGCGATGACCTCTGAAAATGCGGGAGGTTATGCAGGAAGGTGGTACGGTCCGGAGTGGACAACCTTGTGCCAGTTCTGCGGCGGAAAGGTTGTAACCGCTCCAGACTCTCGCCTGCGAAGTCCGCACTTCACAGCGAAAGTATCTCTCTCGTCATAGGGTTCATTACTGGGAATCAGCCGACGGGAATCGTCCCAGCGCGCGGTCTTTTCGGTCTTTTACCTCTACAGTTGTTTGAGGCTAGAGGAGGCCTGACGAATGCGTTTCCAACGTTCCCTTTGGCATTTTCTCTTCATAGACGGTTCACTTGGCGAATTTTCTTCCACATTTCTGCAAAATCACCTAGGCTTTTTATCGCGGACCGTGCCTTTAACGACTTTCCCACCAAGCGCTGAGAAGGGATGGTTTCCCACCGAGCAGTAAGTTTGGTGGTGAAGATTTATGTATCGCGCGAAACTAGAAAAACCCAACAGTCAGGGAAACCTTCCCCAACGACCAAGTGCGCCTCCTCCCCTCCCCGTGCCTTACACAAGAGATGGTGAGCACCGATTTGAATATCTCAGGAGACTAACTGCTAACTAATTGCTTGTTTAGATGCTTCGGTCGGACTCAGTGAACTCCATCAACACCACTTCAGGACGTTCAAGTCGGCTTGGACGGGTATTCCATGCGAAACACGCGAAATCAGTCAAACATCGGTGAGTGTACCTCTGCGAAATGCGCTCGTTAGTCGCACAGCGTTGTTTGGTATCAAATTAGGTGATGGAGTGGGGCGGAGGGCACTTGGTGAGCCTAGGTCTCGTCTGTCCTTGTCGTGTGACGCCTTATAAGGCTGAAGCTACGAGTAGAAAGATCGCTGTCTCAGAGCGCAGATGAGTAAAGCTTCCAGCTGCTTCAGTCACACTGCGCCCAGCGTTCATGGAAGCTCTAGCGGTTCACTTTGTAAAGGAAAAAATGATAAGGTCTTCGTCGTCAATCTAAGGCGGCTCTTTAAAGTCTTCGTCCGTTGATCAATCCCTTTGTGGGATGCGGCACGCATTCTACTTCCATTCAGAATCGTAGTGGCTTATTGAATGCGATGTGGCCTATACAATGACTTGTGGGGCTAGCCGATGTACAAGCCAGTATTCTTATCCTTCCAGGCGAATTCTGGTTCCAACCTTTCTGTTCTCAGAGGGTAGAAGGTTTGGCTTGACCGCAGTCGAGCCGGGTTCGAACCCGGTATCGCGCGAGTGGTAAGCACGCCACTTGCCACTACACCACCCCCGCCTTGCTTCGCTTTATATCATTGAAAAATGGTCTGAAATAACAATGAATAAGAACAAAGGGTGCACATTAGTCCGGCAAGCAGAGAGGTCGTCCGAGCTCCTCGCTTTTTGAACCTGACTATCCTCAGTTGTTCCTGCGCTTGCGACAGACAGTCGCGATCTCTGCAAACGATAGGGCGTGTGACACGGCGCGGATGGGTCTAGCCGAGGTGAGTTAAGCGCGCCGCGTTCTCCACTATTTGAAATGGGTAAGTGAAAGCAGCCGGTGGAGAATGATTCGATACAGTCTCATCGCTCACCGAAGAAAACGGACTCACATCGCGCCAAACCATCCCTCTTGACACGCCCTATCATCCGCGGAGACAAGACTGTACAGGGCCCAGTCTTGATCATTTACCGGACTTATGGTTAATGGACCATCACCCAACGATTAGGCTCGGTTAGGACTAGTTTCCCTTGGCTTACGATCAGCTTCGCCTTGTCGAAGCCCCTGAAATCATGCGCATTGATTCAGGGTCTCATTAGTTTCAAAAGATGCTAGTGTTCCTACCCTATTTCAGTGGAAATCAACCACGAGGAGAAGTGGAAATGTCGATTCGCTATTCCGATGCATTAAGGAAGTTGGTTGTGCAGGTACTTGGCGCCCAGAACCTTCTACCATGGGAAAAGGATGGGCAATGCAACCCATATGCGACGGTATTTTATCCAGTTTTTCTCTCTACACCTTGTGCTGTTATTCCAGGATAAGGATGGAACGCATTGCGCGATATCCAAATGGGCGGAGACAGAGGATTGATCTTGCTGGAAGGTTGAGAGGAAGAATCCAATGAGGCGATTCTGTGTCCCCGCCTATGTGATCATCGCGGAATGTGCTCAAATCATAAACGCTCACTAAAACGGTACTGTTCCTTCAGGCAAAAGTGATATCTATCGAGAATAACAAGGAAGTTTCGAAACGTAAGACCGCCGTCGTCAAGAATACCTTGAACCCAAGGTTTGACAACCAGTAAGTGCTGCGCCAATCAGTAGCCCGTAATCGATTACTAGTCGATAGCTATTGATCGCTTTCTAGTTTCGAATTCGACATGGAAGCCCAGGATATACATAACTATAAACTCCAAATAACAGTCAAGGATGATACCAACTACGGGGCATTTACTCCTAAACCGGTACTTGGCCAGGTGGGTTTATGTCACTCTTTGGACGCACATCCCACGCTGATTGTATGGGTGGAGTTACTTGGTTGGCATTCCTTATACTTGCCACCAAGTAATTTCGTCCATGGAATCAGCGCGGAATAAGCCTCTAATCCGAAAAACAAATGATTTAGTTGAGTTTTTCTTTACTTGCCATAAATATTGTGAACTGACTTAGATCGATATCCGGTTAGCTACGCTGCCGTCCTGCCAACTCCTTCAGCAATGGGTCCGACTCGAAGCGGAGCGAACCTGAGGAATGTATTGATTTGATTTATTGATTCTACGTGTACAGTATTGCTTGTCACTCGATTGTTGTTTGTTAGCAACTTTAGATATTTCATCAGAGTCGCTCCGTTGCAGAGCCATCTATTCCCCTTTCGTTATGGAATGTGCGTAGACATTATGTGGGCCGATGACCGACGATTTAACGGATATTTCCACTTTATGTGCCTTCTTCTCCTCCACAATGGAAGCGCTATCCGCTTCCAAGCTTATTAAAGGCTGATAGACTTTTGGGAGAGGCTTTTTACTGCTGCAGCTGGGAGAGGCCATGTGACGGTACCACTGATTAGACATTCCACTTTCCTAAAGAGCTAGGTGGCCGATTTGCGCGATCTCGTCCTCGCGGCCGACAGAGGAACAGAATACTCTTTCGAGCCCGATGAGCCTCTCCCTCCCTCAGCTAGCAGTCGCCACTCAGCCTTTTCTTTTCAAAAAGCCCATCACAGCCATGTTTACGCGTGATTTCCATGCCTTTGAGATATACTCGATAGTGTTTTTAATTTTTATTGCATCTCCTCTCTGCTGCCTCTCTTATTTGGATCTGATTTAGTGTTTTGTGAAAATGTTTTTCTGAATAATCAGAAAGATCGCCCTCCATGGGTTGAGCCAACACTCGCTCCTTTGTTGCAGCGACTGTGATCGGCTGTTAACGGTCTTGATCTATTATAGATAAAAATTTTGAACTAAAACTTTGCAATTCGTGTTCTTAACTTTTTTAGAACCGAATAACACATCTTGAGGACGTCCTTCTGATGAAGAATGGCCAGCTGTACAAATGTAAAGCATCGTTCAGACTTCGCAACAGCGTCGATCGGCGCATGCTGTCGTCCAAGTCGACGCATTCGAGAGTATGCGCGATCAAGCGTGCGTTGCGATGTCTAAACCTAAAACACTGCTTGGGCTGCGTTTATACTTTGCGGCAGCGTAGCGTAGCGCTTCCAGCGTACGCCAGCGGCAGTGCCGGGGAGAGGATGGATATCGATCTAGCGTTCCCAGCGTCACCAGCGTTTTGCTGGCGTTTGCAGCGGCAGGGGAGTAGAGACTATGTGGCCGTAAGACGCGCGCAATCGATGTGTATTGTAGAGACTGAGGGCGAGTGAGAGACGCGCAATCGATGTGTTTTGTACCCTCCAGCTCTCCCATAGTCTCTACTCCCCTGCCGCTGCAAACGCTAGCAAAACGCTGGTGAAACGCTGTGACGCTAGCGGCACAGCTAGCATTACGCTGGTGACGCTGGAAGCTGGGATCGATATCCAACCTTACCGCGGCCTGCGCTGGCGTAGACTGGAAGCCTACTTGCGCAAAGTATAAACGCAGCCTTAGCACTTTGAGAACGCGTGGAAATGGGGTTGAAGGGTAGTGACATCCGGATAATGTTGGGGATCTACTCGCACTATGCTTGAGGTGCAGCACTTGGCGTTGACAGCAAAAGCTCGCCGCAAACATGCTGTAGGTACGCACCAACCAAAAGTGGGAGCACAGACAAGAGGCGCGCTAGTTAGAGCTCTACCTTGACGAAGTCGAACGAAGAGAAAGTAGTGGCGCAGAGTGAGTGAACGGTGATGAGCGTACTATGCCGTGTGAGTGACGGCGGGTGAGCGCGTGAGTGGACCGGATTTAGGGTGTGTGAGTGGGGGTGGTTGAAGGCGTCTTGAGATGCGTTTCGGTGTTTAGGGAGGCGCGGTTGAAAGATTGTGTTCGAGGGCTAGGGTAGGGGCGCATAGGCGGAGGAGTAAGATTGAGGGATGTTATTGTGTATGGGGAGGGGGGACTGTAACTGGGTACCGCGAGGTGGATGCGGGTTGAAGCATTCTGTTGCCGTGGTGGAGAAATGTAGGAGTGTGCACTGCAAATGCAGAGAGAGCCAGAGACCGACGGATGAGGAGCAACACGTACTATTGAGCGAGACCGACGCAAATGTAGGCCGGCATTGGCCGCCTGGGCCATGAAATGCCTAAGTTTTCTTAATGCTCATTTTGCAATTATTGGATGCAGTGCAAACCTGTTCAAGTATCGCCGTACGCGGACATTGTGACGCTTTGCGAACAAAGGGTTGCAGGGGGGACGGGGGGGGGGGAAGCTATCTCTGGAGACGACTAGAATTTAATTGACTGGGATGGCAGGATTCCGTGACTTTGAACAGGCGCTGCGTGGCGCATTTTTCCAAGGAGGGTATCCTTATAGAGCCCTATTGAGCACCAGCATACCGACCCGGATGCGCACTCGCCCGCCCGCCTACCATTGGACGTAAAGCATCACAGCCGGGCACGAGACGTGCCCGGTTGTGGACCCCCCGTGCCTAGTGTAAATGCAGTCGTAATGTGAAGGCGAACGTAGAAGGTTATTGCTGCTTTTACGCACGCACATAAACAGGTTCAGTCGGTAGACTCGTCCAATCAGTAGCGCGTCCGCAAGCCCGTTTCGCATCTTTCCACTCGCCGCTGTGGAAGGAATATAGCCCTATTCGTGTTTCTCCATCATTCGCCCATTTTTCACTTATTTTCCATTTACTGTGTAGATTGCTTTTTTCAAGTGGTACTGAACATTATCGTGGCCAATCTGTCCTTTAAGAAATTATAGCATTAGTTTATCGCGAAGTGCTTCAAAAATTCATTCACGGCTGATGGCTGTCGGTTGGCCTTATGTCAACACATTCTGTCCTACATCAAGAAACGCACTCGAATGTCTTCTCGGTAAAGCTGGCGGAGAGAGAGAAAAGAAAAGGAAAGAAAGAAGAAAGAAAGAGAAGAGAGAAGACTCTGGCGTTTAAATCACGATAAGGGGAAAGTCATAATAGCAGAAATTCCCATAATAGACCGACGGTACAGGGAAGAAAGGATGATGACGTCGATTGCGGTATGGTCCAACTCAATATTTCCTTTACTGAATCTTCCGAAACGAGACCAGTTTTTGACCGACTTTTTTGCATTAGCAGAATTGGCTGAAATTGATTTACTGGGGTATTTTGACCTCCTGAATACGAATGCCAAATACCCTAAATGGCACACCCGCACAAAACTTGCTCTCAAGTGTAGTCTGGTCTCCTGTACACTAATATCACATTTGCTTGGCACCGAACTCCTAGCGGCCGCGCTAAACAGTGTTGGCGCCAAAATATCCAAATCCGGAGCTGTGGCGCGGCTGCCTAGGCGAGTTCGGGCTGAGTGAATGTGATATTCGTACTCAGGGGTCAAACTATCCTAGGGAACAACATTTGACGGAATCCGTACACGGATATAAAAGGCGGTCCCTCGGTCAAAACTGCTCAATTCTGGAGTGTTTGGAGGGTGTAAAGGGTAAATAGTGCCGGTCCCATATGACGGTAAATAGTGCGGTCCAACAAATACGAACCTTCGAGAGTCCAGATTCTCCACGCTGTTGTACGTATCTCTATACTACATAAATCCACTGAAATCAACCGTGAAAATCGGGGCCCTCTTCTGGATGTTTGCGGTGGATTTTGGGCCTTTTGCTCCGAGAATAACTCACTCGGTGATTCCATTCCCATTTCAATCCTAACAGTTCACACCTATGCCATGCAGAGAATTGTCTCAGAATCAGACAACTGAGATAGACAACGGCTACTCTGGACCCTCCGGGAAACAATCTGTCAATCAAGCACCAAGCTATGTTGTGCGTACTTGTCGCCACATGCTGATTATTTTGACATGGTACTCATCAAACATCGTCGAATAACTAACTACTCCCAAGAGGGAGGAACGACGATGGCAGCCAATGAATTTTACGATTAGCCTTCAGTGTCTCACGAACGATGATTCTATTGCCATTATGGGCTTACGCTGATATTAAGAGCAAAATAAGGAGTTCTAATACAAAATATGTCGATTGAAGTGAAGTGACCTTTCATCTATGAATTTCGACATTTTTACGGACTTTTTCGGAAGCCTCGGACTGATGGTAAGGAGGAGAAGCGACACACCGAACATATCTCCAATCCAGCCTTGGCGTGATTTCTATGCATTTGGCTACTCGACCTCACCATCTCCCGGCCTTAATCATTCAGCACTCACACGTTGACCATGGTTCAGCCTACTGCCAGATATGGGCAGTGAGTCGCGAGGCTGATTGAACCAGGGTTACGGGGCAGATGTCAACCAGACGATCTCTCGCTGCGAGGGTCCAGGGCTAATTTCACGGGGCATCTACCAGTCCAGCAGTTGAAGGGGAAGGTAAAGGAGGAGGGATCAGAGAAGGAAGGAAGGAAGGAGTTGACATGTGCCTGAGACGTGTCAGCAAGCACAAAATATCCATCAATTTACGCCGACGCGCACAGGAATCTGGGTCAGTGTGAATGTACTTTATTCAGGCAGTGCGCATAAAACGGGCTTAAAACGGGGTAAAAGTTGGGCAACTGAACCGAATTACGACATGCCCAATTATTGCTGTTCACGGGGCCGGCTCATTTAATGTCACTCGCAGTTTTCGGGGCTATTGTAACCCGCTTCCTTACAAATTTGTGCTAGACCGGAGGCTCGACGAGTTTTGAAGTTCTTTCGTTCTGATGACTGCTGTTCAACGCCGCAGTTCGCGGTCCGAAGGTTATCACAAGATTGCTATGGGAGAAGTAGCTCAACAACGTTGTGATAATTTTGACCTGGACTCGAACCCTGTCCCATGCTTTCCGAGCGAGTTCGCTGTCCGTCAGGGCCCGTAAGGCAGGATTCTGTGTAAAGCCCAAGAGAGCACTGAACACAACCGGTGCCCGTAAGGAAAGAACAAAACAGTAAACTGTACGAACTGTACATTATCTTGAACCCGTCACCGGCTGTACATATGCACCATCTGCGATATGAAATTCATTATAATCCATGATGAAAGCCGGACTCATGGCGTATTCCAAGAATAATTTGCACAGCACCTGGCTTTTTATTGTTTCTCCTTGCAGATATATAACTTACATACTTTTAGGTATTCCAATAAAATTGTTCGTCTGTTTCGTGTGTCGTTGGG